CAGACATGGAGCTTGAGACGGGTTCGTCCACCTGTGTGCTCCAGAACAAGGGGATAGACGGCACAGTGGTGGACACAGAACAGCGAACACGGTCAAAAAGACACGAGAGTGTGACAGGAGTGCTAACAAACCCTCAACCTGTTTGAACCTGAGTCTATAATGCCTACAGCAGTGGAGAGAGTGGCTTTCCTGCTGTACAGCACCCCATGCAGCCCCACATTCAGGGCAGGAAGCTGCATGCAGGGGGCAGCAGCTCAGTGACAGAGCGGGGAGGAGAGACTGCGTTCAATTTTAGGGCATCCACACAGGGCATGAGACCTAGAGTGCCCTCACATGGTGACAACGGAGCATTTGGTCCCAGATGCTGGATCAAAAGCATGGAGGATGGATGGTCCCTAAGCCAGGTCTGACATGCCTTGTTTCAAACAACTGCATAAGGAAAAAGACTAATGAAAGAGCAAATGTTGCTGTCACAAATCACGAGTCAAGGACTAAGAAGATTATAGTTTTTCCTTTCTTTTCTTTTTTTTTTTTTTTTTTTTCTATCATTACCTTAGTAAATTTTGTGAGGTAGTTGACACCTTTTAGATTTTTAACAGGTTGTCAGGATCATATTGCAAATCCAGAGCTTTGAAGTATTAAAGGAATAGTTCATCCTAAAATGAGAATTTGCTGAAAATTTACTCACTCTCTGGCTCAAGATGACATTAGTTTAATGGAAAAAAATACAAAACTGAAAAAAAATAAAAGTATTCCGTAAATGATGTACAGTTTTTATAATCAGTAACCAATGTATTCTCGCTGCCTTCTAGATAATTTATTTTGCCACACATTACTGCACAGTTGTAAATAACTTATGTACTGTAACATCACTCAGTTAAGTGTAAAAAAAAAATAAATGAATAAAAGTTATCATTGTATGTACAGTTCACTTTCGGGCAGCACTTCCCCCTCACCCCAACATCCCTCACCAAACAAACACACCACCCCCCGGCCAAAAGGTGTACGCATCGTCAGTATTTTCAAGACTTCCATGCAGCGGTCCTTAAGGTTTCTGTCCAAGGCTAGTCAAAGTAAATCTAGATCATCATCACCACCGTCATTAGGAAACACCATTTCTCCTGATTACTCTGTCAGGGCCAGGACCATAGTTTTCAGATGTAGCAGAGTGATTATGGATTTATTTAAAGAATAGTAGAGGTATATTATTCATCGTTTTATTACACAAGTATATATCTTTAAAAAGTATAAACCAAGAAAATGCCTTTATACAGTTAACGTCTCTGATTTCTTCTAAAGCTGCACAAGTCATAGGTAGGATAGGACGTGATTTGGAGCCTATTCATTTGGGTCTGTCTAAATATTAAACCACGCCATGAACGGTGTAGAACATATTTGACTTTATTACACATTGTACAATTATAATCATGGGAGTTTTTTTTGTGTGTGTGTGTGTGTGTGTGTCATGCCCTCTGATCATGTTACATTCTTTTTTTTTTTTTTTTTAAGACATGAAACTGCAAGTTTCTTTTAATCCCCCACACATACCCTCTCTTCAGCACTATTCAACCGTTCTTACAGATCTTAGCAATTAGGAGTTTGGGAAATCAGAATAAAATATCACCCCATTGCCTGTTTAAAAATATGTAGGTTCCTGCTTTTCTGTTGTTGCTTTTTTTGTTGTTTTTTTGTTTTTTATCTGTTTTGTTCTCAATCTTATCTGCATATAGAAGGAAATGCATCATTGCATCAGACAAAAGTTTGTGCAAAAGCAGTTTTTAATTTGTCTTCTAAGGTGACTTTTATTGCGTCACACTTAGAAGTGATGTCTCGGCACCCTCCGTTATTAGAAACGTACTGATAAGGACTTTTACAGATCAATATGGCAGAACAAAACACACACACACCTCAGTTCTTGGATTTACTATTCATATACATGGGCTCTCTGCCTCAACTTCATTGTGAATGTCCTCACATTCTTTTTTTTTTAAATGCACCAATATCAATTATTCTGACTTTATTTTGTCCTTTACCATCTGAATAAACTTTACAGTACATTTAGATGTTTACATTTGTCAGTAAACACAGAGGGGACTAGCGTTTTTTTTTTTTTAAGAGGGTTATTTCTAATTATTAGATATAGTTTTTTTTGGGGGGGGGGACTTGAAATGTGTTTTTGATATTTTACCCTTTCTCATTACCTGCCTGTACTTCAGTGTGAGGTTGTGTGATGTTTGCTTAACCATCCAGGCAAGTATTTTTATTTATTTATCTCCTCCCCCCCCGTTTCTTTCTTTCATGTGTGGTTGAGAGTCTGTGAAAATCCCACATGACGCAGTTCTGTATGTGTGCATTGAGTCTGGGTGCAACAGGTGTCAGTGCAAACCAAAATGTCTACAAACAGATTCTTCTTCTGAGTGCACAATATGAATAGCTTTCTGTTCAGATTATGTTCACTTTTAGTGCTTTCTTTTGTGTTGTGTGGTTTCTCTAACAAAAACCCTTGATTTCAGATAAATGCTTTTGGTGTTATTAGGTGCATTTTTCCCCCCCATGGAACCGAAATAGTGATTTGTTAATCAAATGGTTTATGTATCATCATCAAGCCCCTGTATATGTACTGTTTACAAGATGATATGTGAATATTTCCACTGTCCTTTGCCCTGGTGAGAGTTTTTTTTTTTTTTTGGGTTCCCACCACTGAATCAATTTTAAAAGGCTTGAAATTGTGATTTGATAGAAAGTATAACCTGAATTCTGTTTGGGCTTTACTATTCAGCACTTATAAGCCATAATTTACATGAAACTTTTATTTAATACTCACTCTAAATATACTGTATTGGGACTAACTGACCATGAGATTGGACAACAGAAATCTTACACATGCTTGCCTGTTGACTCACTGACCTCTGTCTGCAACACATTACCTCTACTAAGTACACAGATTACTGATTATTCCATTTATAGATAGTATAGATTAGGTGTTGAGCCACAATTTCAAGCCTGGTTTTAAATAAATGTTTTCTTCAGTATCAACAAATCTTAACAGATGATTCTTGAAATGGAACTGAACTCCTCTAACATGTTGAACTCTTCATAAATAGCGAGAAATAACCTATTTATTATCTTTCTGACACCTGTGGTATGTTTGAGTTGAAGGTCTCCGCTGTGTAAATTTTCCTCTTGTAATGCGTAAACGAGACGTTGTACATAGCTGTAAATAATATTCCAGGACGTTTTGCACCCTCCTCTTTGTACTAGTCTAAACTTGCGTAGAATGTGAGGTTCTAACAGCAACGAGACGTGTCGCGCTCGCTGCCGGTGATGTAACAATGTATCTTTTTTTTATTTGTACAATGTAGTTCAATTGTGTACATATTGTTGGAGCAGCTATGGGAGGGAGGGGTTTGTTGATGCTATCGTCAGTGCTGTCAAAGATCCAGTACTTTCACCTTTAGCTGTGTTGATATCCTGCAATTCAAAAACCGAGAAAGTAAAAATAAAATTAAATTAAAATTTAAAAAAAGTTAACGGAGAGGAAAAATTAAAAATTGTTATTTTCTACACTTGCATGTACAGAGAGCGCGAGAACTGCTGTTGTTCCTCAGAGATTATGTTCGTAAATAAATTTTTGAAATGATTTGGCTTCTGTGGTTTCTTTTTGTGAGCGGCAATATGACACATCTGCCACAAGAGAGAACCAAGGGTTTTTTTTTATTTTTTTGCTAATGCTAAGTTCTATTCAGCCATTCTTGTAGGATGAAGATGCTTAATGTCATAACACTTGTGGATTATTTTTGCCATACAAATGATAACAAATGTCATTTTATTCAACATAGCACTCCACTGAGTGTTCATTTAACTAAATGAGGTATGTTGCCACATTTGGAACCTTTTTTTTATTGACACTAATTTGAAAAGATTGTTTTTGTTTTGTTGTTTCTTTTTTCTAAAATATGAAATAAAATTAGCAAATGCAAAAATGGTAAAAGACACAAAAAGTGATAAACAGAAATTAATGAATGATATTTCATGAATTAATAAATGCAATTGATTAAACAATGAATTGTATTGCATTAGAAGTACAATGTGCAACAAATTAAGTGTAGGCCTGTTATATAGTCCCTGAATGTTTGTCTGTGTGTGTTTCCATTTTCACTGAACAGCTATTAAAATATGATATTAATAATTTTGGAGGATAGGATTTAGAAACATAAATTTAAACATTTAAGTTTTAAATTGCTGCTGCATGTCCATTGTAACATTATTAATAATGAATGGTGTTAATATTTTTGATAACCTTAAGTTATAATCCACAATTTAGTGATAAACGCAGGGTTTCCGCATGTCCTTAAAAAGTCTTGTATCAAATGTAAAGTGCATATTGCAGGTTAGAGACTCGGTGAGTCAATGTAAAGGAAAATAATGTAGGAACTAGATTTTGTTTAAAAAATATACTTATAAATACGCTACTTGAGGCTTCTGGAGTCGTTTTTGTGAGAAAACTTTACTTCCGCATCTGAAAATCGCCAAAACCAGAAGTGAGTGACGTAGTTGTGCGGTCAATTTAAACAACAGGAAAACAATGGATCGCAATGACAGTTCGGACGCTGAGGAAATGTTTATTCATACTCGTATAACGGACCACAGCCATACAATTATGAGCCTGCTATACAGCCAAGAGAGCAGGGACAGGCCAGGATTATTCGAGTAATAATTCATGTTTATCCGTGCCATTGATCCTGGTGACCACCAACTCGAATACGAATAACTTTGCTAAGAGGCCTTTGTGTCCGCGCAAAGAGAGGCTATTCATTCCTTTCACTTCGCAATAATTGAACAAAAAAACAGCATCAACACAGCGAGAACATACAAACTCCACACAGATGTTTTTTTTATTCAAAATAAGCTACAGAATAAGTTTGAGCGATATCAAAAGAATCAGTGAATCGGATCTATGAACAGCTTCGTTTACATGAATCGTCCGAATGAACTGATTGGCTAAAATGAATCGAACTTCCCTGTGCTACTTGACTATCAGTCCGTGCATGCGTGGACAGCCCTCCTTCTGTTCATTTCCCAGCAGCACTACAGGGAGCAATGTCTGTGAGAAACAGCTGTTTCCTTCGACAAGGACTCTAGTTATGGAGTTTGAAAGTAAAATATACCCTCAAATTGGTGGATATGGGCGATACAACAGGATCATAACGCTTTTCAGCTGGTTTCCAAACTTTGCGGTTTCGTTGAATCTCTTAAGCGATGTTTTCTTCACGCTCATTCCCGAGTCTTACCACTGCAACCCTGATCTGGCGTTACTACCACCGTCTTCTCTTCTCGGAAACCTCTCCAGGCAAGCGTCCCTCAATCTCACCACCCCATGGCTGAAGGGGTCTGGGTTCAGTCACTGCGAACTGTACAAGTACCCGCTGAATATGAGCAGCTACACGGAGAACGTGCCGAGAGACGTGGTGCCGTGCACTAGAGGATGGGAGTACGGCAAACCCGCGGGTCTCCAGAACAATTTAGTGACCGAGGTTAGTATGCAAACACAGCAATGCAAGCATTTCACTCAAATATGACACGACTTGTCTGAGATCGCTTTGAGTTGAGCTTTTGTTTCAAATAGTCGAGTGTTGTATTACTTATCTGGTCTTCTTTTACCAATGTTAATTTTCTTCGTTATACGATATTTGCACATTTTATGCTTTAATTGGTGTGGTTATTAATTTATAGGGTTTTAATTTTAGGGAAGTACGCAAAAGTGACAGGTGGTAGTTTTGTGATAGAGCTGATAAAAGATTAATATACTATTTTGGGGGCACATTTGTCCCCAGAAGTGAGCAGGGGACGTCTTCGTTTGTAAAAAACAGTATAAAAATAAGTCACATTTTTATATTTTGTATTTATTTTATTATTATTATTGTTGTTGTTGTAAAAATACAGAAAGTTTTCTGTTAGGGGTGTGGGTTAGCTTACAGTGTTTATGAATAGCTGTATATAAAAGCAATAGTGTTCCAATTTTGGTAAGTAAAGTGTCATTCCACAACCGTTCTAAGTGTAAATAATTATGATATTTAATGTACGTTCAAATGAGCCAACTACTAGTCAGGCTGATCCATCTAAGTTTGCTTTGACCACTAACCATATGTTAAAAATATTGTGATTAAGATTACATTACAGTGAGGTTATTTATTTATTTAGTCATTTATCAGACGCTTTTATCCAAAGCGACTTACAAATGAGGACAACAGAAGCAATAATTTGTAGCATTAAAACAACTAAAAACAGATCCAAAACTAAAAGCTAAAACTTTATAAATACTACCTATACACATTTATTCATTCCTTTCACTTCGCAATAATTGAACAAAAAAACAGCATCAACACAGCGAGAACATACAAACTCCACACAGATGTTTTTTTTATTCAAAATAAGCTACAGAATAAGTAGAAAACTGAATCTATAGGACTACGACTAATAGAGAATTGCGCTTGGTTCCTATTTTAGAACGACTTTAAAAAGTCATTGTAGCCTAGTTACAGCGAAAAAATTAATTTAAGTTTTATTATATATGTATATTTATTTAATGTTATACACAGTTATCTCACTTCACAATAATTAAAATAAATTAAAAATTAAGGTTTAAATGTAAGCATAACAATTGTGTATAACATTAGATCAGTATTTCAGAACTGCCGCATACACACACAAATATCTGCATTAATCTCGAAAAAAGTCCATTTGTTCCGGATTTGAATACTGTGTGATAGGATATGTTTATTATAACACATTATAATGAACTGCCAGAGATGGCGGTGCATGTGGAAAACAGCAGAATTGACTCTTTGAAATATATCATCGTTTATGTGTCATGTGAAAAACCCAGCCCCACATATTTATTTATATATATATATATATACATATATTTAAATAAATAACAAATACAAATAATACAAATCAAATGACAGTAGTTTATAAGTAATCCTAAAAAATAACACTGCTAAACACACATGCTAAAAAACAACAACTTACTTACACATAGTAAGAAATGGTTATAAAAACTGAAACAGAAGCGAAACAAGTAATAGGAAAGAGGAGAAATAAAAAGCAATACTTATTATAATATAATATTTATACAAGAATTAGAAAATGCTGAAACACCCCATCCCATCAGCACAGGGAACAGCTGGGAATTAGTCCTTGTTGGGTTCCTGTTCCACAGGAGGTTCATAGCTGGAGCTTTTCATGTGGCCTTGACTAGCAATATGTTTCCTTTTCCATGATGGAGAAAAAAAAAAAAATCTGTCGTGAAATCTGTATGGATTTGTTTTTAGGAAGATCCATCTGAAAGCAGAACAAGGCAGAGGAAGGTTGTAAAACTAGAGTAGCATGGCTTCACATTAGCTGTAATGTAATAATAGAAGTTGATTATTTAATAGGAAAGAAAACCGCGTTTGCACATAATCAGACTTCCTCAGATTTCATGGGTGTTCTGTGTTAGCAAGAAAATTGATTTCAGTTTTCAAATACATTTGATTAACATCAGCAGCATAGTGATACCTGATGGTGTGCACTTTGAAAGATTGAAACATATTTTTAGTCTGTGTACTGAATATTACCCTACTGTAATATCCAACTCAAACATCTTAAAGCTGGTTTTACATGCTTTTTAGTTTTTTTTTAGTGCTGGTTGTTTATAGTCATTAGCTGGTCCATGCTAGACTAGTGGCATTGACCTGATAGATGACTTTGACCTGGTAGAGTATCTTGGGCTGGAAAACAACCTTGAATTAGCAACAACCAGCTACAATTTTCCAAAAACATCTTTACCATGCTACCCTGCTGGGGGGGAAAAAACAGTCATGGCCATGCCAGTTTGCAGTGTTCCCCCCTGTGTTATTTTTATAAGGCAGTCTTACTGAAAGTGTGTCTCTTTCCTCTGTATGTTGACAGTGGGACTTAGTATGTGCCAACTACTGGAAGATTCCACTCCAACACATTTGTTTTATGACAGGCTGGACCTTGGGCTATATACTCCTTGGCACTATGTGTGACTGGTGAGTTTTCCTAAATTCACTGGTGAGATTTCTAAATGTGATAAAAATGTACTTAAAATGTGCAATCTAATGCAAAGTATTAAACAAATGAATGATGCTAGATCTTTCAGAAGGTTTTTGCAATTAATTTACTTTTAAACTACTTTAGGGTTATTGTTAGCAAATGAGTGAAGTCAGTTCTTCTCAAGTTCACAGGTGTCCCAGCAGAATAACTACAACTTTCCACTAACGTTTGACAAACAGAACTTTCCCAAATTGTTGTCTTGATCATTTCAGATAAATGTTATGCACTGCTCTTGCTTGAGCATGTCAGAAATGCTGATGTTCTGTGCGTTTGTGTGTTGTCTCAGGTTGGGTCGTCGGTGTGCTCTGCTGCTGTCAGTGGTTCTCTCTGGTCTGCTGGGAATCATGGCTTGTCTTTCTAACAGTCCTTCTGCATTCCCATTTCTTCGACTCTGCCAAGGCTCAACATTAGCTGGAGTGTTTTTGTCATCTTATATTGCACGCAAGTACTCTCCATCATTTGACCTCTTTTTAAGTATGCGACTGATAAGATTGCGATAAGACACAAAAGGATGTCTGCTGTACACAAGTGGTTGGTTTTTAAAAAGAGTTTTGGTTTTAAAGGAATATTACAGAAGTATTTTATACAAGTTATTGAACCCAGAACCTATACAAGTTTTTGAACCACCTTAAGGTTAGAAAAGGTCAGAGTCTTCCTACAATCCCAACACAGCAGAAAGTCCTCAGACCTTGGTACAATTGTTAGTATTGCAGCACAATAGATCACAGAATACTCATTTATTTGATTGAAAATGACCATCTGGGTTTAATTTCCATAACATATTTAAAAAAAAAATGTTTGTATATTATTTACAAACACACATTTGGATACATTTGACTGCATTTATGTATCTTAATGTCTTGAACATTTTGAAATAACAGTAGCCAAATATAAAATGTCTGTACATGCCAATTTCATTATTAAACTATATAAAGTGAAGGAAAAGCAGCCGACAAGTTTCCAGCATACTCTTTGAACACTGTTATTCTAAAATGTAGACAGTAGAAATATTAAAGTGCCCCTATTATGCTATTTTGAAGGTTCCTAATATTGTTTTGGGAGTCTCCTACAATAGGTTTACATGCATGCAAGGTCAAACATCCCTTTTGTTTTCTCAAAATATGCATTTAAAGGGTTAGTTCACCCAAAGATGAAAATTAGACTGTGTTTTACTCACCCTCGAAGCATCCTAGGTGTATATGACTTTCTTCTTTCAGACGAATCCAGTCGGAGTTATATTAAAAATTGTCCTGGCTATTCCAAGCTCTATTAAGTCTCTCTGAACCCCTCCTATGGTCTACCGTGTGCAGCACGTGTCGGAAACGATACGCCCATGCCGTAGTTCCGTATTTTGAACGCTCGATAGAAAATATAAACATCAATTATTAATTATTAACACAATGAACTCCCAGAGATTAGAGAAGCAGTCGTCAGTAAAATTGTGTCTGTGTGTGTGTCTGTGTGTGTGTCTGTGTCTGTGTGTGTGTGTGTGTGTGAGAATGTATTTCCTAAATTAGTTTTAAAATATTTTATTTTATGGAAACTGAACCAAGATGGACAATTTTGAAAGAGTGAAGAGTAGTTTCAGTGATATATTGTGCTGCAAGACTTTATGAACAATAGCTGAATAGAGGACACAAGGACTTCCTGTAGTGTAGGAGTTTGTAGGAAGAGACTGACTTTTTTCCAGAGTTAAGGTCATTCTCGCCAATAATTATCTTTTAATACTTCCCTTTACATACCTCTCAAAACTTGTAACCTAATTGAAATGAAATTCAAACATTAACTTTCACAATTTTGTCTCATTATTCCTGTTTTTTTTTTTATATATGGTTCAGGACTGGAATGGTGTGACCCGCCTCACAGACTCATGGTGTCCATGGTCAGTGGCTTCTTTGCCGTGTTTGCAGAGCTTTTGTTGCCAGGGCTTGCCGTGCTTTGTCGTGATTGGCCTGTACTTCAGGCTGTTGCCACACTGCCCCTGCTGCTATTACTTTCTTATTGGTGGTGAGTGAGATAAATGCTGTCATCAAGTGTGTCCTTCATGCCCTCCAGTCACCCACAATCCTTTGCACATGTTCCAATTCACTACAAGATTTGGATTAGATTCGCTGGATAGCTGCTAAGTTCAGGGTAAGGTGCACCCTATGATAAAATTACTCTTCCCTCATGAATCATGACATCTAAGATGTAAATATGAGTAAGCCTTTACAGAACATTTAGTGTATTGTTAATCATTTATTTCACACAAACAGCCATTATAGTATTTACTTCAGGCTCATAAGATTACCAACTTTAAGACCAAGCACCTCTAATAATGTGATTGTATGTAACGTGTGTGTGTGTGTGTGTGTGTTGCAAATGTGCCAACAGCTGTGCTTCAGTGTTCCCAGAATCTCCTCGTTGGCTCATAGCTACATCTCAGATTTCTCAAGCAAAGAAGTGTCTCCAGTCTTTTTCAGCACGAAATGGCATGTGTGTTAGTGATGAGCTCTACCCTGCCGAAACACTGCTGTCAGGTAAGAATCTCAACCTTACAAACATCAGCTACTGATCTAAAAAGTGCTTCAATCAGTAGTAGTTTTAATTATTTACAAAAAAAAATTAAAAAAACAAATTTATAATCTCATGTTGTGTGGGTTTTAAATAGAAATATAATTTAAATATTCTCTTGTATACTGTATATACATAAACCCGAGATTCAGCTGGCCTGTTCTAATACCTACACTATTTCCTGTATTCCTGTATTTGGCCCAAGTGGGCTTGAAGCCTGCAAGTGTGTATAGAACTTTTGATTACCCGATGGGACACGCTTACAACACAGTAATGTTTATACAGAACTTTATTTACACATTTTGACTTTCTTTGCACTTAAATAAATTTCTCAATGTGTGTTCATTAGTCCCTACAGTGGGTATAGAAAAGAATCACCCCCCTTTAAAATAATTATATTTTGTTGCTTTACAGCCTGAAATGAAGACGGACACAGTTTTTATTTTATCCAGCTGTGTTTACTCCAAGTAATGTTGTATAACATCCAAGTGAAAGATATAACACCAACATGTCAGAAAAAAAACAAAAAAAAAACAGAATCACTGAGTTGGAAAAAGAATCACCCCCTCCTAAAATTACTTGTAAACTCAATCAGGTGTAGCTAATCACCTTCTCAATGGCACACAAAGCCATTTGACTTTCAACTGTGATCAGCTGTGCTCATTTTGATTAGCTCAGCATGAAAAGAGTTTTCCTGGAGCATTTCAGTTCTTGGTAGTGCAACTGAAGCAAACAATCCACTATGGGTGGCAACTGTGACGGTGGCCGTGACAACCGCATCACCGCCTGTCACTCTGTGCCAGTACCTCATAAATAGAACAAGGCAGTTTACTGTCGGGGATTTGTCATGTCGTGCCGCGCCGCATCCAGTGTAGCATCACTGATTATAATGAGTTTTATAGTATTTGGTCGCGCCGCCCCGCGCAGCTCGCATCCTGTAGACAAGGGTGTATTTAACTTTCTTATTTAGGCTACTTTCTTGTTTAACTGTATTATTTTTGATCAACAAAAAATGGATATCATTTGAAAGCTCAGAGTCTGAGATTTTCAATGCTTGTTGCCACTTTGATTAACTCCAAAGTAGTGCAGAGTTATTTGCTGATAAATTACAAAAAAAAATCATAATTTACAAAATATGTTTTTTTGTGCCATGTACTCTAATATGTCAAAAATATCATACAGCTCGGATAGTCATGTGTCATATGTCATTTGAAAGGTCTCATCAAGTAGAATAAAACAAGCATAATTGTTTGGGGCTTTGAATAAACTAGAGTGAGTTTTTGTACAAGAAGTCACCCCCAGACCCATATGAAAATAAAATATTGATGTCACCGTTTTACTTGTAACTTCATAAAACATGATCAGATTGTGGAAAAGGCACCATTATTTATAGCAGATTCTCCTGATTAAAAAGAGCCCAAAATCACTATAATTCGTCATTTATATCTAAAGATATTCCTCAAGAATTTATAACACTCATAAAATTGCACAGGCAGCATGTAGTTTAGCCAAAAGAAATCTAAGGTAGCTGTCATGTGGCGATTTCTCTCATAACTTCATGAAACATGCATATATCATAGAAAACGACACGTCATTATTTGCAGAATTAAATTAAAAAGAGCCCAAACTCACCATAATCCATCATTTAGATCTAAAGATATCTCTCATAAAGCTATAACACATAGAAAAGAATCACTGTAGGTCATGTAGCTTAGCAAAAAAATCAGAGGTTGCAGTCCTGTGGCGTTTTAGCTTGTAATTTCACCAAACATGCATAGATCTTGAAAAACCGCACAGCATTATATTCGGAAAATTCTCCCGATTAAAAAGATCCCAAATTTACCATAATCCGTCGATCAGATGGAAAGATTTCATTCATAGAGCTGTAACACATGAAAGCAGACAGGCGCGCTGCAAAGAAAAACAGCTCTATGCTTTGTTGCCTTTTAGCTCGTAACTTCACGAAACATGCATAGATCATGGAAAGTTGCACGTCATTATTTTCAGAAAATTCTCCCGATTAAAAGGAGCCCAAACTCATCGTAATTCGTTCATTGGATCTAAATATATTACTTACGATGTTATCACACACATGAAACCATTAAATTAAGAAAAAAATAAGTTACGGTTTCATTCATAACTTCATGAAACATGCATAGATCGTGGAAAATGGCACGTCAGTATTTTCAGAAAATTTCTCAGAAAATTGTACTGCAGTGTTTTTTTTTTTCCTTGAGTGAAAAACCTAGGACTAATTCACAAAAGTAGGTTTTTCACATAATCATGAATATTTAATGAACGATTCCTTAAGGCAAAGTTGTTCAGCATTAGGACAGATCAAATGATATGAATATTGATTTCAGAGTCATTAAACTCGATAGTGCCAACTAGTGGCCGATTTCTTTCAAAATTCTTACACATTTTTAGGGCCATGAGTCGAACATGCCCACCGAGTTTCATTCCAATCGGCCTCCGTTAACCTTGTCTAATAGGTGTTCAAATTTCATTGGTCGATGGCGGCCATGTTTTTCGAGGTACATGAATGTCCTCAAAAGACCCTTGTGGCACTTTTGTCAAAGATACTGCATATCAATTTTCAAGTCGACCAGACTAACAGTTGCATAGTTAGAGCCATTTTCATGTTTTTACATTTAATAGCGTCATCTAGTGGCCAATTACCACGGTTTTTACTGTGACTTTAGATTAAGCTTATACATATGTGTACCACGTTTGGTGAAAATATCTCAATTTGTTCTTGAGTTATAGCCATTTTAGTAAAAGTGGCTTCTTCCCCTTTGAACGTTTTGGCACCCCTTAGTGGCCTAGGCAAAAAAAATAAATTAGCACTAGTTCGCAAAAGTAGGTTTTGACCAGAATTCTAAATAGTTGCATGCTGGAAATGAAATCGGAGATAGACATTTTGTTTGGATTGAGCCAAGGATTCCGATGATATAAAGTCTACTTGAGTCTTGAGTCTACACCAAACAGTTCATGAATTATGGCCAAAAATGTGAACTTTTTTTTTTGTGTAGCACCACCGTTTTGCCGATCTGTGCCATACTCTGTCAACTTCTCCCCAAATTGAGCTTTACAATCTGGCAAAGTTTCAAGTCTCTAGGCCTAACGCTTTGGTCTGCACGATCAGTTTTAGGGCGGAATAATAATAATAAAATTAACAATTACAACAGGGTTTGAGCACTACGCACTTGAACCCCTAAAAAACGTATTTTATTTCAGAGAGTTCTAAAGGCAAAATTTATTTTTTTTATTTTAACTTGTGCTAAACAAAATAACTATAACTTAATAAAATAAAAAATGTATGTGAAAACAAAATATAATTATACTAGTATACCGATGATACACCAGGAAAGTCCGCTAGCTCACTTGCTTTGGTCCGGTCCAAATACAATGTTGATTTTTTTTGGTTTGGTGCGGTTCGCTTTCACACTGCCCTTTTTGCAAGTGAACCAGAAACTGTAAACAAAACCACACGTGTGCTTACGATAATCCATTCATTGGTTTACCAGAGTTCGTTTGGAAGCGGACAGAGACCACCTCTTCAGCTGAGTCTCGGTACGGTTGTTTGGTCCGCACCCGAGTGCGATTGCTGTATTCACACCTGCTCAAAAGATCCGCACCAAGGGGGAAAACGAACTTGAGTTCGATTCAATCGAACCAAACAAGACAGGTGTGAATACACATGTTCCTGAATATGATGAATAATGGCATACTCTTAGCCTCAAATACTGCTCTGAAGCTTTTAGACGTAATGTGGATTTAGTGTGCATTAAGGGCACTGAGCTTTTGCATTTATCAGACATGGGACAGTCTTGTGCATTTAGTTCCAGTCACGTTCATGCTCTTTTAAGTGGCCAAGACTGCAAGTGTGGGTATTGGGACGGACCCATAGAGTAGACTCCGATATACAGATGCACACTTTAAGTATTTGTCTGGCCGAATGAGTTATGTTAGAATTAAAACGGTATTAAAAATAATGACTTAAAAAATTAACTGAAACAAACCCAAAGTTGTGTGTGGACAAGGCATTTGAAAGGACCCAAGGCATTTGAAAAATGGTCAGAGATATTTATGGCTTAGTTAATGGAATGCTGTCTAATCAATCAGTAGAACTGTCATGGTGTGATTATACTTTTCACAGAATCAAATGAAAGGAAGCATCTAGCACATGAGGTTAGCGTTGGTCCCATGATAAGACTGCTGTTGTTCCTTGTGATTTTTTTTTTTTTTTCATGCAGTGCTATCCCAGCTCACTGACTGAATTGCATTACAACAAATCAAGGCCCATCATGGATAGTAAATAGACCCATTTAGGGTGTTTAAACTGAAGGAAGTAAGCCTGCCCCTCCTAGAGAATTTTTTTTTGAATGTGCTGGTCAGGTGTTCTTGGCAAAGCCTCTAAGAAATCGACCAACTCTTCACTCTTGACACAATGACCAAGTGCTGTTCCAAAAGTTAGGTAGTGAAACTAGACTGCCTTTATGTCTTAAAATCAGAGACACTATGGCATGTAAGCTTCGATCCCAGAATGAGTGAAAATTTTGAAAGCCTTCGGATCATATGCAGAGTTGCGATTCAATCTGTGCTATGATATTTGGTTAGTTTTTGTTTTATTGAATGACAGCTGACTCTGTCTCTACCATCTTCTTTCAGACCTGCATGGAGGGCTTGTTCTGGTTCTGTCTGTAGTGGGTCTCCTCTCGTCTCAGGCTTTGGCCATGCTCAGTGTGTTCTTTGGCAGTGAAGTCATGCCAACTGTTGTCCGGTAATCTCAATCTCCACTCTATAAAACGGTTACTACATACATCTGTGGCCTGTTACACAAAGCTAATTGAATGAACTCTTGAGTCTCAGAGTAGGTTTGGAGTTCACGAAACCAAACAAAGATTGGGTTCACAACACTCGCTATAAACATTGTCAACTCGGGGTTAATGCAAGAGAATCAATTGAAGTTATTTGTTGAATAATTTACATTTGTTCAAAAAGGGCTTAAAAGAAAACGTTTAGCAGCATGTTAACAAGTTTAGCCATTTTAAAGGCTTTATATAGTCTAAAGCTTGTGTGTATATCTCTCAATTATACTGTAACAGTGTTAATTTCGTTGACGAATAATTTTCGTCAAAGACATTTTTTTTTTTCACGACAACGAGACAATAACGAACTAAAACTCTTTTTGAATGACAAAAACTATGACGAAAATTTATTGACATTTTTATCAACGAATAAAAACGAGACTAAGATGTTAGGGAGGGACGATTTGGAAAGAGATTCATTCAAAACAAATCTGCTGTGTGGTTCGGAGGTTAGATGTGTACATATGAACCGGCGGGACATAAGCTAAAATGCACTTGCTGCTAGGGTTGCCAACCGTTCCGTATAATACGGAATCGTCCCGTATTTAAGGCATCAAAGAAGCGTTCCGTATGAAAGCTATACGGAACGCAGTTTGTCCCGTATTTAAGGCATATGCCGTATGAACACCTAGACCATACGAATAACAAACTCTAAATTGAGAATTAATCATTCTTTTTTGACAAGTGTTTGATTTGTGAACATAGCCGTTCCAGGGAGGCTTTAAGACCAAGCGGAATCCTCTGCCGCTTCAGAGCCAGCGGGACTCGCGCTAATGGAGTTGGGTTTTTTAAGACCGCGTTTCGACTTCAGCAAATCAGTTTGAGCGAATGCAAACAATGTGATTCCAACATCCAGCCACGCAAGAAAATGTGCATTTTACCTGAGGGAAGACGTATTTCTCTAATGTATACACCTAGATAAAACAATTTACATTTTAAGTAACTTCCAGCGTATTCTTAACCTTGAATATCATTCTTAAAACACAAAATGACCAATGAAGTGTCAAGCACCCAAAGCAGTCCATATTTATTCTATAAGTTCTCTTTAATTGAAAAATATGCATTTTCATATATACTGTAGTAGGCCTACTGTAGGCTATATTACACACACGCATATCAGAAGACAGAAAGAGCTTTATTGCCAAGTATGTTTGCACATACAAGGAATTTGTTTTAGTGTCACAAGCTTCCAGTACACAGACACAACAACAACAACACAGATAATAAAAATAAGATGTGAATAAAATACACATATGTATAAATATAAATAAAGCACACACACACAAAGGATAAATATGTACAGGTGTGCTATAGATAAAATACTGTAGCATATGAATAGAATAAAAAATAAAGTTGTAGGGATGTAGGATGTAAAGTGATAAATAGTATAAGGTTATTGCACATATTTGTATTGCACAATGGGAGAACATAATGTATATAACTGAGTTTTGGTTTGCTTACCCAGAATAAGATAATCACTTTAGGTTAAGTTGGGTCATGTTAAGTTACCATATATTGCCAAATAAATCTGATCCAACATCTTGAACCTGAAAAAAGTTTGTTCAAACTAAACTCAGACTTTACTGGGTAGCCACTGAAACCGGCAACACAGACAGTGGTGCAGTAGTACTAATGTAATTAGGTCATGGGCTATGTATATGAAGTATTTTACAACAGCTTCGAATGCAGCTCAGCCAATCATAATCAAGGACCAGAATTATCCATTTTATAAAACTGATTTTGGTGTGTAAACTCCAAATTAAAAATAAATGTTGCAAATAACATTTAAAAAATAGGACAAAACAAATACACAGAGAGTAAAGAGTAGTGAGAGTAGATTATTTTAGCATTTTTTTAAAGAAAAAAATTTAAAACCTGCACTGCTGGTCAAAAGTTTGGAATAATTAAGGTTTTTTTAGGCCTGGTTTCACAGACAGGGCTTAGACTAAGCCAGA